TTTAAAACAATTCAAAAAATCATTAAAAATCATTAAAAAACGTTTTTTTGCCATCCCTATCTGTCAGGACCATGATTAGAAATGATCTTTGGGGATTTCCATAAAAGAAAAAGAGCAAGATTCATACGAAAGAAAGCAGTCACCAGCATAACCACAGAGTCGGGGATAACCAGATAAGGCGTAATCTATCAACAAATGATGTTACATTGAGGAAGCCCAGTTTCAGATTAATAGGACTAAGGACATTAATAAATATAAAGACGATCCGGCTAGTAGGTCATGTGAAATTCAGGAACTGCGAATCTCAAAGTCGGGATCCTATACCGCGGAGCCAGGGACCCGGGACATCATATGACGGACTTAATGGAGCATGAGCTATCTCACAAATACGGTGAAGAATCAGTGGCCACTTGCCGTCCATTGATCTCTGCAGAATGATAACTCTGGCCTTTAAGAGATGTGACAGATCCTAAAGGTGTCTAAGGACCTTCAGAATAGCGGAGGGAGGTAAAAGTTAAAAAAAAATAAAATAAAAATAAATCTATCTAAATATTTAAATAAATTTTATTGTTATATTGTTAAGATTTTTCTCTTTAACACTTCTTTAAGTACTATACATATGTAAGCTGTTCGTTAACATTATTATTATTACTGACAATATTTCTGATTCCCTATTTTATCTTACCTTAAGTCTCAAGGCTAACTTTAAGAAAATAATTGTTATGTTATTTACCCATAATAGGGGCCAGGTATTTAGTCATTTATATACCTCACATGACTTTTACTTTACAAATTTATTATTAATCAACTTAAAAATTACATTGCTTTAGACGATTCCCTATAATTGACTAAAAGCATTGTATATGACAGAATAATTATGCATGTTATATGTCAAATTAAATACTAGGCTAGAAGTAGTGATTGTATTCATTTTGAAATCCAAACCTGGCTATTTGTGAGTAGGTTACCCAGGTAGTAATACTCATGAATACAGTTTTTACTATTGTTGCTTACTTTTTGTTGATCAGCTTCCTGAAATGCAATTTCTCAGATTTTATAATTTCAATATTTCATTTTTCTAACAAAACACATTTTGGGTTCTGCTTATTTTACCAATACTCACTTTACCAATAATTCCGATTATTGCTATTAGATCAATTCATATTTTCATTATTTCTCATAATGTTTTAGTATTTTCCATTTTATATTTACAAAAAAATAAGGCTGAATCTTTTAATGAAAAAATTAATCAAACATTAAATAAATGCAATCTTTTAAAAACCACATCAAATAATTACTTAAGTAAATTAGTTCATTTAAATTAGCTCGATTATAACTTTTTAAATGCAAATATTCAAGGGTCTTTATTGACTTTGCATTGCGACAATACACTTCTTGATTTAGAGGTTTTTTTCATCCTATGTTTGATATATTTAATTATTTACTGATTTATGTTTTACGATTTGAGCAAAATTAAATAATTGTTGTTTATGTAATTAAAATTGCCAAGTTTGTCTTATATCTTGAATTAATACCTTCCTTTTTAAGAAAAAACAGAAAAATCCTTCCCAAAAATTTCCAAAGCAAAAAATTGAAAAAGCAATTAATTCGAAAGCTTTTTAAGGGGCATAGATCAGGAAATCATGTGTCTATCCCGCTATAGCTGATTACGCAAGTGCTTTTGGGAATGGGATAAAAATTATTAAGAATATCAAAAATTTGTATATTAGGAAAGAGAAGGGTATGATTCTATAATAAATGGAAACACTTACGATTGCGGGGTAGCTTAATTATAATTAATGATAGCTTAAATCTCTATGCCCTTCAATTTTTTATCCTTGTGATTCATTATTTAAAAAAATTTCAAGTTCTTGAATTATCTCTTCTTTAGTTTTTCTTACTTTTATAATTTCACGTAGCTTATTTGTAGATGCTTCATTTAAAATATTTTTTTCATCAAATTCTTGAATTATCTCTTCTTCAGTTTTTATTTTTTTAAATTCCTTAAGTAACTTGTCACATCTTTCTTAATATCTGGTTCTACACCCAATATAGCAACTTTTTTAAGTATATTAAAAATAAATGGTACTTCAAAAGATTCATCCCACATATTAGTTTGCACCTTTTCGATCAAGTTATGAAGTTTTTCAAGACTATATCTATAAAATCTTTAAATGTCAAATAATAATATTAATGACTGTCAAAAGGTAAAAAAAGCTTAAGAATAGGTTAGTCTTACATAAGCTCAGGAAACCAATTATTTTTTCTATGTTGGTATGGTAGCATGTATAAAAGTTCAATTTTTAACAAAATCTGTTCAAAAGTATAAAAAAGTAA